CCCAAAGGTGTAGGGAGGCAAAAACTAGGTGTACTAGAAAATGGAAAAGGTACAGAAGACAGAGAACTCAGGAAAATAAAGAGATTAGCCGAAGAGCCAGAAACGAATATGCACAGATAAGAAGGGAGGCTCAGCGACAATATGAAAATGACATAGCATCAAAAGTCAAGACTGACCCGAAGCTGTTGTACAGTCACATCAGGAGGAAAACAACAGTCAAGGACCAGGTAATCAGACTGAGGAAGGGTGATGGGGAATTCACAAGAAACGACCGAGAGGTATGTCAGGAGCTCAACACGAGATTTAAAGAAGTATTTACAGTGGAAACCAGTAGGACTCCAGGAAATCAGAACAGGGGGGTACACCAGCAAGTGCTGGATGAGGTACATATAACTAAGGAGGAGGTGAAGAAGCTGCTATGCGAACTTGACACCTCAAAGGCGGTGGGACCAGACAACATCTCTCCGTGGGTCCTTAAAGAGGGAGCAGAGATATTGTGTGTGCCATTAACAAAGATCTTCAACACATCATTTGAAACTGGGCAACTCCCAGAGGTATGGAAGAGGGCAAATGTAGTCCCAATTTTTAAAAAGGGAGACTGACATGAGGCACTAAACTACAGACCTGTATCACTAACGTGTATAGTATGGAAGGTCATGGAGATCATCATCATCAGGAGAGTGGTGGAGCATCTGGAAAGAAACAAGTTTATAACTGACAACCAGCACGGTTTCAGGGAAGGAAAATCCTGTGTCACAAACCTACTAGAGTTTTATGACAAGGTGACAGAAGTAAGACAAGAAAGAGAGGGGTGGATCGACTGCACTTTTTTGGACTGCAAGAAGGCCTTCGACACAGTTCCTCACAAGAGGTTACTGCAAAAGTTAGAGGATCAGGCACACATAACAGGAAAGGCACTGCAATGGATCAGAGAATACCTGACAGGGAGGCAACAACGAGTCATGGAATGTGACGAGGTGTCAGAGTGGGCGCCTGTGACAAGCGGGGTTCCACAGGGGTCAGTCCTAGGACCTGTGCTGTTCTTGGTATATGTGAACGACATAACGGAAGGGATAGGCTCAGAAGTGTCCTTGTTTGCAGATGATGTGAAGTTAATGAGAAGAATCAAATTGGATGAGGATCAGGCAGGACTACAAAGTGACCTGGACAGGCTACAAGCCTGGTCCAGCAACTGGCTCCTTGAGTTTAACCCTGCCAAGTGCAAAGTCATGAAGATTAGGGAAGGGCAAAGAAGACCGCAGACACAATATAGTTTAGATGGCCAAAGACTGCAAACCTCACTCAAGGAAAAAGATCTGAAGGTGAGTATAACAGCGAGCATATCTCCTGAGGCGCACATCAATCAGATAACTGCTGCAGCATACGGGCGCCTGGCAAACCTACGGATAGCGTTCCGATACCTCAGTAAGGATTCGTTCAAGACTCTGTATACCAAACCATACCCCCGGCCGGGATTGAACCCGCGGTCATAGAGTCTCAAAACTCCAGCCCGTCAGGCCCATACTGGAGTATGCAGCACCAGTTTGGAATCCACACCTAGTCAAGCACATCAAGAAATTAGAAAAGGCAAAGGTTTGCAACAAGACTAGTCCAGGGTACGGGGGGTTGCCTGCAAGAAAGGTTGAGGGAAATCGGCCTGACACATGGGGGACGGAGGGCAGGGGGGACATAAAAACGACTTAAAATATGCACGGAATGACAAGGTGGCAAAAAAGGGACGTTCCCGAGAAGGGGCACAGACACAAGTGGTCACATTGGAAATTAAGACTCAGAGAATCAAAGGATGTTAGGAAGTATTTCTTTAGTCATAGAGTGTCGCCGTGGAATAGCCTAGAAAGTGACATAGTGGAGGCGGGAACCATACATAGTTTTAAGGCGAGGTATGATAAAGCTCATGGGGCAGGGAGAGAGAGGACCTAGTAGCAATCAGCGAAGAGGTGGGGCCAGGAGCTATGACTCGACCCCTGCAACCCCAAATAGGTGGTACAAATAGGCGAGTACACACACACACACACACACACACCACACACACACACACACACACACACACACACCTGTATTTTCTTCTATTTCTTAATAGTTCTTGTTCTTCTTTATTTCCTCTTATCTCCATTTGAAAATAGAAAAGAATTCTTGCTCCATAAGCCACATGTGTCATAAGAGGCGACTAAAATGCTGGGATCAAGGTGTTATTAATCCTTTCTGTATAAATTACTAAATTTCAAAAGAAAAGCTTTCATTTTTTTTTTAGGTCATCCTGCCTCGGTGGGATACAGCCGGTTCACTGGAAAAGTAATAATAATAATACCCCCATCCCCCACTCTCATTTACTCCTATCCCACCCCAGAAAAATTCCATAAGATATTTGCTAGTGTTATATCAATGGGATCAATTGTAGTCTTAGGTGATGGTTAGATTTACAGTTAATGGCTCTTTAAATATAAATCACCAAAGAGAATGTGAAATGCTTACACACTTAAAAAATTAAACTGATATACAGCATACTGCATATTGGCGACACTAGAATAAACAGTTTCAGAATACGAATAAGGATGGTGTATAACATTCTAATCATGGATTCTTATGGTAATAACGTTCTTGAAATGGTTTCCAGCTGCTGATCCCCAATCATAGATCCTGTATGAGAGAGAGGTGGCTAGATTAGTTAGTACTGCATTGCTTAGAGTTGAGTACATTGTATTACACCCTTAGAAAGAATGTCTACTGGTCTTTTATTACATTTTCTTAAGTACAGCATATGGATGCTTAAGTTTGACTGTTTCTCTACTGTATTTAGGCCCAGGAATTTACCTTTGTGTTTACTATTTGTGTTATTCTAACATCTACACATTAGGATGATTTCTTTCCTAAAACTAATGTGCCTTTTGTAGTGAGTTTAGTCTACTTTACAGCAAGTGAAAGTTTAATTATTACATTTAATGGAGGGGAGTATTAAACCCATACAGCACCTGGGAAAAAGGGAGGCAATCAGATTCAATTCTAGGGAAGTAAGGTCTAAGTCCACAACAGCATCAAGGGATTTCCTTAGAGAAGACAGAGTTTAAGGAAGTTTCTAGAGAATGAAGTTTTATACGTTACTAAGGGTTGAGCCAAAAGTGTCAGGCTATACTCTTGTCAATTTCTGGGTATACACTCACAAACATGCATGCCACACACTCACAAGCTGAGGTTTCTACAGATGACAGTATCAAAGTATTCCCACTAGATATTTATTGTCCAGTGCAGTGCAGATGTCTAGCATTTTAGTTTTGGTCTTATTTGTACTCTTCTGAGGTCTGAAACCAAATTTTCAAGGATTTCAAGTGCTTTACAGTACTGCCAATACTGTATTTCCTTGTGTAAGCATACATTATAAACACACTGATTAAGATTATAACTATTACAGTAATAACTGAAGGATCACCAGCTTTGTGAGCTGTGTATCTCTAGATTGTGAATGGCTTGTCTTTCAACCCATTTGTTGAAGAATATTCCTATGGCCAGCAACAGTACTTATACATTATTATGGCACAGGTACTGCATATCAGAATTAGAAGGTACATCATTTAGTGTATTCTTATTTTGGTCAGCTGATAATGAACATAATTTCTGCAGTGGCTGTGGGAGATAAGGTTTGGAAATTTTGGTAGTAACTGGCAAAATAAGCATTTATTATGCTTGCTTGAATTTTTGATATGCTCTTAGCAAGGTACTTTTACAAGGTACCTGTACTGTTAACACTGCCAAAAATACCTTCAGAATTAACAAAGATATCACTCTGTTCAGGTACAAGACAAGATCCCTAATCATACACAATGAAGCTTTCAATATCCTAAATACTAAATTCTTATTGGTAACCTTAACTGAGACTTGGCTAAAAATTGAACTTACCAATATTTTTCAACATACCTTGGTACACGGCCATCCAACACTAGAGACCTAATAAAAAAGGGAAAGGTACTGCAATCTACTATACAAATAAGACTGTAAAAATTGAACATAGGAAATGAATACAGGAGACATAAAATTTCCCCAATTTATTACCGACACTAAAACTAAGTTAACAGTAGGAGCAGTAGTCTACACAGTATGAAGTATAATTTTTAAAAATGCCATATAGTGACTGGCAGAGACTTCAACGTTGATCTGTAAACAAGATAACACTCAAATTTCCTGCTACCCGAATTCTATATTTGTCTTCCAATATACCCTAAATTACAAAGCCTATATTAGAAAATATAACAGCCCCACAAAAATCATGAAGAATTTATAACAGAACTAACTACTCGTTCACCCTCCTCATAATATATCCAAAGAACCCCAAGAAATTAAGAAATAAAACTGAAGACTACATAATGAAACTTCAGTATGAATTTTTTCAATGAAACGGAAGCATTAACAGACTCTGAAAACATTAATGTAAGCATTAGCAACTTTTTCAAGTAAGTTGGCTAATCTTAGCAACAAACACAGACTCTAAAATAATGATAATTTACCAGAGACATACTTTGATCAAGAGACCAAAGGTATGAATATGAAGTTTAGACTAAGATTATTATTATGCTTATATTCACAGGGAAGCACTAAACCCATAAGGGTTGTGCAACACCTGAAGAATGGAAGGAAATCAGGTTTGTTCCAAGGAAAGGTAGCTCTGGTTCCTCAAATCAAGAGCACTTCCTCAGCATCAAGGGAAGTTAGATTAAGAGCCCTTGAAGAATTAACAAAAGATACTGTACAACCATGACCATAATAAGAAAAGAAAAATAGAACTAATAGTATCATCAAAAAATTTAGAAACCTAAAACCCACATGAAGACACTTGGAAAATTCTTTCAAATTCTCAACCCCGATAAAAAATTAACAAACATCTCCAAAGATATAACACCACTGTCCAAAGCTACTAACATTACAGGACTTAAAACATTTTTAAAGAGGAACTAACCAATTAAGAAATATAGAAACAAACACTGACATACTTTACCAATCTCAGAAACCATTACTACACTTTCTGCAGCCTCTACCATCTGCTCTCTAAGAAATAAAGTAAATAATCAAAATAAAATACCAACTGAATGATAGTAACATTAATGGTGTACAACACCGACAAGTTGCTGTATCAAACGAGTGCAAAACCTGGATATCTTCAGTCTTCAGACATTTTGCCAACTAGTGGCTCTGTTAATTCAATACATAGGTTCTTTGAAGGTGTTGAACTATAAAAGGAATACACAGTAATGATTTCCTCAGCCTAGATTAAGGTGTTCACCACCTAAGTCTTGACACCCAGATTTTACACATGTTTTATTCATCAACTTACACATGAAAAATGCACATATACTGTACTATCACCAGACAGGCTGAATAATACTGCAATAAATTGCTTAAATTCCATACCTATCCAGATAACCTGAAAATAATCATGGAAATTCCAGAGCTGTAAATCGATGTGTGTTTACATGGAGGTACTGAGTACAATCACTGGATACCTAAACAAAAAAAAATTACAGTATACTAAATAATGAAGATAGGACACCACAAACTTAGCCCAGGAGCTATAGACTTTTGAACAGAAGTAACGATACAAAAGTTGAAAATTGGTGGCTCTGTCTTTATGAACCCTAAGGGACATACAGCACCTGGAGGAATGGGAGGCACTCGTGCTCGATCAAAGAAAGAAAAGGGTATTTCCAATTTGTTGGATCAAGAGCCCCTCATCAGGGTCTGCTCCTATAGCTACAAAAACATACAATAATCACAAATAGGAGATTCCAGACCTAAATCAAGCCTATTAATATTATGGCAAATATCTGTGAAAAGTAATTTATGGTTTGCTACAGAATATGCCTAACTAAATACAAAAATGTATATTGTATTCTACATCCATTCCAATTTAGCTTCAGTCTCCAGAACACTAAGGAGGCCATAGTTAAAATACTAGACATCATCTACACAGCACTTAACAGAGCTAAGGGGTAAGGGGCTACACCCTTAATTTTATTCAATCTCACGAAACAACAAGATGCCAATACAGTGCTGGTAAGTTATTAATATCACTGTCTCACATACATTCCCAATAAACACCAGTGATCCACATGGGAAAGCACCCTGCCTCTTTTGTTTCTCTACTGTATAGTGCTATACAAGCATGACAATCATCTAACCAGTGCCACAAAACACGTCAACCACTGCATTTTGCTGCTGTTGTCACCAAAGTCTTTCCAAGGCCAAACCCTGTATAAATGGTTAATGAACAGCAATATAAAATTGTGATTTTAAGGGCTTCTGTTTTTCACTTACAATATTATAACACTTAGCTATTTTTTTTTGTCATCTTGCTTTCATCTTACGAGTGCAATGTGTATACACTTTCTTTCCTATATTTTGGTAAGGGATATCAACAGTGTTTAATTTGATTTAGTTTAATTTTTCTAAACAATGGTACTGAGTTCTGTAATTATTGGTGTAAAATACTGTACATCACACAATAACCTCAATGTCTTATCACCATCACTGACACACAGCAGTGTCAAGATATTTGCTGTTAGCCGCAGCTGAACCACTCGCATCCTGAGACTGTCATCTCTATGTTTACTTCATCTACAATCTACCAGAACACTTTTAAAGACATCAGCCATTTACCACTAGGCTGATTAGACCTGAAGAGAAAAAACACTAACACAATATTCCACTGAAAGGTTCTTTTTGAACCAGAATCTTTAGTACACCATTGGCACAATCAAACTCAGTTACATAATCATTTTATTAAGACTTGACGAAGTGTTGTATAGTAATTTCAGCATCACTGAGAAACCTAAACTTAATACCCACGATGTGATATTTAATTTTTTTTTTATAGGACAAATCAGTAGGCCAGCAAAATAACCTCAGCTAAATAACCAAAGTAACATATCATTACACTACTATCCACGTAACAAGAAACTGTCGTACTTCTCTTAACAAGCAAAATACCACCACTACCATCACCACAAACAATATGCAAAATGCCTCCTATAAGTTAGTTACCAGTTACATTTTCTAGTTTCTCAGAGAAGCAAATGTTACAGGTAGCAACTCAAGTACACATCTATTCATTTACTGACTTCACATATAGTGCTAAAACTACCAACCGGCAAGAGGTGTCTTCTACACAGGGCACAACGGCTTCTTCAGTCTACACCACAACAAATATCTAGAATACTTGTATGAATTATTTAATAATTTATTACTTTTCATAAATCCTGTAAAGTGCACAGCATTAAAAAACATTAAATTTACTAAGAATGAAGATGGTAAGAGCAATTATTTTAAACAATCTAAAAGAATATACTAATAATAGGTCACACATAATTTACTCAAAAAAGTTATTGTAAGAATACAGTCGTCTCTTCTAACTGACAGGTTTCCTTACAGGTTTCATTTATCCAACATTTCTTACTGCAGGGCAAAAAACACACAAATTAAATTACCCAATGTATTTTCTGGCTCAATGTCTTTTCCATGCCCAAATCTTCCTCTATTTTCATCATCATTTCTTATGAATGTCAGTATTTACCAGTTAAATATCATGTCTCAAGCACAAAAACAAATTAGTAAACAAAATTTGCTTTAGGCTTAATTTTGTATTATTTGCAGTTTCTAGTTTTGTGGGACCTCAAAGAATGTTAAACCCCCACATATTTTGGAGGAATGTGTATAGTAAAGTACTTAACAAATGAAGAGATTTATATTGGATATTTTTTAATGTTTTAATTTTTTAATGGATTAATGCTTGTTTTTAAACCTGATACTATATAATTATCAGACCATTTTTACTGAACACATGTCATACCCAAATGAACTGATACTGTACTGAAAAAGCTGAATACAAAAACAGAGACTGACACACATGTTTAATTGCCTTCTAACAATATACACATAACCAAACTTACCTCTTTAGCTGTCTTATAACCATCCCTCAAGAATCTCTTACACCCATAACGTCCTTGTAACTTATTCTGTATAGTCATCTTAGTCGTTTTAATTAGTAGAGGATCATCCACAGCAAATGCTGGGAAGCTGACAACAGCAAGAAGACTGCTGTCCACCTCTTTACTGTTGCTCTCACGTGGAAGCATTGACTGAAAGTTTGAAATGAAGCACATATAGTATATTGTGATATATAGCAGTCCTATCTTTAACATATGTATTCTACATATGTAATACACTCCATTTATATACATAAAATTAAATCTTGATAAAAATAATACTGATTATTGTCTGTAAAAAAAAAAAACTAGGTAATGAATGACTGAAAAGAAGAAGCATAGAGAAAGTGAATATTTTTGAGAATAAATATGTCAGGAGAAGGTTGGGTCTATGAAAGACAAGACAAACCATAGAATAAACAAGAAAAAAGGGTGGGTGATGTGTCGAGGCATCAGCTAAAAGAAAGACATTTATCTTTGGAGGCAAAGTGAAGAATGTAGCAAGAGTATAAGTGGTACTAACACTTTTATATGAGTGTGGCATGGGCTTCAGCCCTCTGAGTGTCGAGACCCTTGCTCGCACACTTGCTCACACTGTCAAAGAATTTAAAAAAAAAAAATATATTTTTCTTATGAAATGATAGAGAATCATTTTCTGAAGGCAATGAAGCCAAAAGCTCAAAATTTGATGAAAAACTTACGGAATTATGCTCTCTTGAGTTAGTAGTGTCGGCGATATCTACGCATCGGCGATTTTGCCCACTTAGAGCCCTATTTTGGGCTAATTCCTTTGTTCCACTCAACCAAACTTATAGCTATTTCGCTGGAACTCCTTTTATTCTATCAACTGAGTACAAGAAACCGCTCATTTACCTATTTCGACTACACAAAAAAGCGATCAGATATTACTAATTTCGCAAATTTCACACAAAATTCATGACCAATTTCAAAACAAGGGCCAGAATGAACAATGCAGACATTCCTGGCACTAAAGTAACATTTTCTCTGTTCATTAGTCATGTCTCCAGGCTCCTCTTATATAACGCTTGCTGTTCATTTTGAATTTTTATTCACACAAAAAAATAGATAATTTACTGTTATTCAGACTGCTGCATAATCGTAATAATTATATAAATAATACCAGCACATTTGTGAATGCATATAAGACTCACCAGTTGATGTGTACTGGACGTGTGACTGATTTGTTTACTCTTAAACATCAAAAAATTAACATTTCCGCTACTTTGAGCTCAATTTCAAGTTACTTTTAGTCAATAAACCATTCAAAATCACCTCGATTTCTGTAATATATCTACCATTCTATCAAATGAGACCAAGAAAATGAGAATACAACCATAAATACCATACAAAAATACACTGCAAATGCGCTGTTTTAAACCTAAAACATGTTCGTAGTTTTTCTTTCTCATTATGCACTGCCTGCTGCAGGGTTTTTTATACTGTGCACACTGACTATGCAGACCCATTCTCTTATATGTAAGCCTACCAGCATTCTCCTACAAGATTTGAAGCTGCTAGAATTTTGGCATAGTATTACGGGACCGAGACTGGCTTCAAAGCCTTAATATTACGGGATCGACACCAAACGGGTTAAACATTGCAGTAAGGAGGCTGGAGGCAGTGGAGATGTCATGTTTGAGAGCAATGTATGGTATGAATATTATGCAAAGATCTGAGCATGGAGATTAGAAGATAGTGGTGGGGTTACCAAAAGTATAATTCAGAGGGCCGAGGAGAGGCAGTTGAGGTGGTTCAGGGCTTCAGAGAGGATAGAGGAAAAAGATGACTAAGAGGGTATATAAATCTAGGATGGAAGGTAGGAGAGGTAGGGGTCATACAGGAAGGATTGAGGGAGTAAAGGTGGTTTTGAGTGCTTGGTGCTTGAACATCCAACAGGCTTGTATGTGTTAGAACAAGAGTGGAGGCAAGTGGTTTTTTATGGTCTAACATGCTATTGAAATGTGAACTAGGTAACAGTTACAAATGGATACTGGGAAATTGCTTAGTCAGACCCAAGTCCTGGAGGTGGCGTTTACAGTGCTTAAAGTGTGATGTCAATTAGGGGGGATATGATCGAGGTGTATAAATGGAAAACAGGAATAAATAAAGGGGATGTAAATAGCATGCTGAAAATTTCCAGCCAAGACAGGACTCGCAGCAATGGTTTCAAGTTGGAAAAATTCACATTCAGGAAGGACATAGGAAAGCATTGGTTTGGTAACAAAGTTGTGGATAAGTGGAACAAACTCCCGAGTACAGTTATAGAGGCTAAAATGTTGTGCAGTTTTAAAAATAGGTTAGATAAATACATGAGTGGGTGTGGGTGGGTGTGAGTTGGACCTGACTAGCTTGTGCTACTAGGTCTGATGCCTTGCTCCTTCCTTAAGTGGATTTGACCTGACTAGGTGGGTCATTGGGCTAATCCAGGAGGAGGGGGGAGGACATGGACCTGCTTCACATGGGTCAGTAGGCCTGTTGCAGTGTTCTTTCTTTCTTAAGTTCTTGTGTTCTTAATACACTTCCAGCAAGGCAGTAACTGAATGAGCTATGATGAATGTATTTCCCACTGTGGAAGGGATATTACAGTTCAAATGGTCCTTTCAGCTGTGATATCTATGCACTCTGGGAAGACAGCTATTAAATGAATGATGGTGAATGTTTTCTTTTTTGGCTCACACTGCTTTAGAGGGAGATGGCTGATATGGTAATAAAAAAAAAGTCATAATATTTAATGATTGTGGATATGATATGAAAAGCTAAGATGATGTATAGTAATACATTTACAGAGCCACATTGTAATGATTTTAACACATCTATCCACAATTTTTCTTTCAGTAATTTCAAAATATCACCAGAGATGCAGATTAACAACAATGTAAGGACCCCAATGGAAATAAGTCACTCTGTCTGACTTTTTTGGGTTATGATAATTCTATGTAACTGTATTTGTGTATACCTGAATAAACTTAATTACTTAATGTATCCTGCAATTTTATTTGCATTTTAGAAGAAAAACTTCTTAAATTTGTCTAACAAGAAACATTCTGAACTATAATCAATAAAATGCACAGTAAAAAATAACAAATATAATAATATTCAACTCCATGGGGAAGTGGAACAAAATTCTTCCTCCGTAAGCCATGTGTCGTAAGAGGCGACTAACATGCTGGGAACAAGGGACTAGTAACCCCTTCTCCTGTATACATTACTAAATTTAAAGAGAGAAACTTTCATTTTTCTTTTTAGGTCACCCTGCCTCAGTGGGATATGACCAGTTTGATGAAAAAAAAAAATATTCAGTTCACTCCAAAATATATACTACTCAAGGCCTATCCTTCATTAATCTTTTAAGATGTACCATTCAGGAAACACTAGTTCAAGTTATAATATTCACCTGCAGAACAGCCTGGCACTTCTGAGCCTCATCAGCTAACACATGAATGACACTTGCTGGACCACCTCGTGCACCAAACAAATCAAGCTCATTCATGGCCTCGAGTGCAGCTTTAGCAAGACCAATGCTAGAAGCATTCAGCTCAGGAAGGCCATGGTTGGTCTTATCTCCTCGCTCCCAAATACCATAATCCTGAAAGTAATACAAAAACACTTAAAAAAATACTAATTCGCTTTCAAAAATCATAATCAAACTAGTACACACAGTCAAATCTGTAAACTTCTGCACCTGAAAATTCTGCACTTGAAAATTTGCACTTTCAAGGATCACCACAAACTGATTAATCCTTGAGAAACTGGTACCCCTATCAATTTAAATGTTACATATTATCCATAAACACTATAAAAGTTTAAGCATGTGATGCCCAGTTTCTTTATATGAAAATTTATGCAAAAGAAAATACTCTTGATATATTATATGTATTGAGCATATTTAATAAAATATTCATCGAATGATTTTCATATTGAGGTCAAGAACATTAAAGAAAATGGGCATCACATGCTTAACCCTTTCAGGGTTTCGGACGTACTAGTAAGGCTTACCCACCAGGGTTTTTGACGTACTAGTATGCCTAAATTCTAGCGCCCTCAAATCTAATGAGAGACAGCTGGTAGGCCTGCATATGAAAGAATGGGTCTAGGTGGTCAGTGTGCACAGTATAAAAAAATCCTGCAGCACACAGTGCGCAATGAGAAAAAAAAAATCTTTGACCGTGTTTTTTGATTAAAACAGCGACTTTGCACTGTATTTTTGTATGGTATTTATTGTTGTATTCTAGTTTTCCTGGTCTCATTTTATAGAATGGAAGACATATTACAGAAATTGAGATGATTTTGACTGGTTTTACAATGAAAAGTACCTTGAAATTGAGCTCAAAGTAGCACAAATGTTCGATTTTTACCGAAGTTCAAAAGTAAACAAATCATGCTAAGCGTCCAATACACGTCAACTGGCGAGTCTAATATTCTTTCACAAGTGCACCGATATTATTTATACCATTTCTACACTAATGCAGTAGTCTGCATAAAAGTAAATCTTCTATTTTTTGAGAATAAAAATTCAAAGTGGAAAGCAAAAGAATGTAAGAGGGGCCTGGGGACGTGACTAATGAACAGAGGAAATGTTATTTTAGTGCCAGGAATGTCTTTCTTGTTTATTCTGGACCCTATTTGGAAATTGGCATCTTTTGAAATTTGTGTGAAATTGGCAAACTTGCTAAATTCTGACCACTGTATTGGATAGTTGAAATCGGTAAATGGGTGGTTTCTTGTACTCATTCGATAGAAAAAATGGAGTTCTAGCAAAATAGTTATGATTTTTGTTGACTAGTACACTGGAATTGGCCGAAAATAGGGCTCAAACTGGGCAAAATCGCCAATGAGTAAACATCGTCAAGACCGCTAACTTCGCGAGAGCATAATTCTGTAAGCTTTCCATCAAATTTCATACTTTTGGTGTCATTATGATCGGGAAAAGATTCTCTATCTTTTCATAAGAAAAAATAATTTTTTTTTTTCAAAATTTGGGCGACCCTGAAAACAAGTCTGGGAGAGGGCCTGGGGCCCTGAAAGGGTTAAACTTTTATAGTAGTGCATTTATGGATAATATATATGCTCAATAGCATATAGGTAATACATATTTTAAGAAAAAGAGGATAAATAAGTATACAAGATATGATGTAGGGTGAAATGACAGTAGTTTGTTGGATTATGTATTGGTAGATAAAAGACTGCTGAGTAGACTTCAGGATGTACATGTTTATAGAGGGGCCACAGATATATCAGATCACTTTCTAGTTGTAGCTACACTGAGAGTAAAAGGTAGATGGGATACAAGGAGAATAGAAGCATCAGGGAAGAGAGAGGTGAAGGTTTATAAACTAAAAGAGGAGGCAGTTAGGGTAAGATATAAACAGCTATTGGAGGATAGATGGGCCGAGAGCATAGGCAATGGGGTCGAAGAGGTATAGGGTAGGATTAAAAATGTAGTGTTAGAGTGTTCAGCAGAAGTTTTGTGGTTACAGGAAAGTGGGTGCAGGAGGGAAGAGGAGCGATTGGTGGAATGATGATGTAAAGAGAGTAGTAAGGGAGAAAAAGTTAGCATATGAGAAGTTTTTTACAAAGTAGAAGTGATGCAAGGAGGGAAGAGTATATGGAGAAAAAGAGAGAGGTTAAGAGAGTGGTGAAGCAATGTAAAAAGAGAGCAAATGAGAGAGTGGGTGAGATGTTATCAACAAATTTTGTTGAAAATAAGAAAAAGTTTTGGAGTGAGATTAACAAGTTAAGAAAGCCTAGAGAACAAATGGATTTGTCAGTTAAAAATAGGAGAGGAGAGTTATTAAATGGAGAGTTAGAGGTATTGGGAAGATGGAGGGAATATTTTGAGGAATTGTTAAATGTTGATGAAGATAGGGAAGCTGTGATTTCGTGTATAGGGCAAGGAGGAATAACATCTTGTAGGAGTGAGGAAGAGCCAGTTGTGAGTGTGGGGGAAGTTCGTGAGGCAGTAGGTAAAATGAAAGGGGGTAAGGCAGCCGGGATTGATGGGATAAAGATAGAAATGTTAAAAGCAGGTGGGGATATAGTTTTGGAGTGGTTGGTGCAATTATTTAATAAATGTATGGAAGAGGGTAAGGTAACTAGGATTGGCAGAGAGCATGCATAGTTCCTTTATATAAAGGCAAAGGGGATAAAAGAGAGTGCAAAAATTATAGGGGATAAGTCTGTTGAGTGTACCTGGTAAAGTGTATGGTAGAGTTATAATTGAAAGAATTAAGAGTAAGACGGAGAATAGGATAGCAGATGAACAAGGAGGCTTTAGGAAAGGTAGGGGGTGTGTGGACCAGGTGTTTACAGTGAAACATATAAGTGAACAGTATTTAGATAAGGCTAAAGAGGTCTTTGTGGCATTTATGGATTTGGAAAAGGCGTATGACAGGGTGGATAGGGGGGCAATCTGGCAGATGTTGCAAGTGTATGGTGTAGGAGGTAGGTTACTGAAAGCAGTGAAGAGTTTTTACGAGGATAGTGAGGCTCAAGTTAGAGTATGTAGGAAAGAGGGAAATTTTTTCCCAGTAAAAGTAGGCCTTAGACAAGGATGTGTGATGTCACTGTGGTTGTTTAATATATTTATAGATGGGGTTGTAAGAGAAGTAAATGCGAGGGTCTTGGCAAGAGGCGTGGAGTTAAAAGATAAAGAATCACACACAAAGTGGGAGTTGTCACAGCTGCTCTTTGCTGATGACACTGTGCTCGTGGGAGATTCTGAAGAGAAGTTGCAGAGATTGGTGGATGAATTTGGTAGGGTGTGCAAAAGAAGAAAATTAAAGGTGAATACAGGAAAGAGTAAGGTTATGAGGATAAAAAGATTAGGTGATGAAAGATTGAATATCAGATTGGAGGGAGAGAGTATGGAGGAGGTGAACGTATCAGATATTTGGGAGTGGACGTGTCAGCGGATGGGTCTATGAAAGATGAGGTGAATCATAGAATTGATGAGGGAAAAAGAGTGAGTGGTGCACTTAGGAGTCTGTGGAGACAAAGAACTTTGTCCTTGGAGGCAAAGAGGGGAATGTATGAGAGTATAGTTTTACCAACGCTCTTATATGGGTGTGAAGTGTGGGTGATGAATGTTGCAGCGAGGAGAAGGCTGGAGGCAGTGGAGATGTCATGTCTGAGGGCAATGTGTGGTGTGAACATAATGCAGAGAATTCGTAGTTTGGAAGTTAGGAGGAGGTGCAGGATTACCAAAACTGTTGTCCAGAGGGCTGAGGAAGGGTTGTTGAGGTGGTTCGGACATGTAGAGAGAATGGAGCGAAACAGAATGACTTCAAGAGTGTATCAGTCTGTAGTGGAAGGAAGGCGGGGTAGGGGTCGGCCTAGGAAAGGTTGGAGGGAGGGGGTAAAGGAGGTTTTGTGTGCGAGGGGCTTGGACTTCCAGCAGGCATGCATGAGCGTGTTTGATAGGAGTGAATGGAGACAAATGGTTTTTAATACTTGACGTGCTGTTGGAGTGTGAGCAAAGTAACATTTATGAAGGGATTCAGGGAAACCGGCAGGCCGGAGTTGAGTCCTGGAGATGGGAAGTACAGTGCCTGCACTCTGAAGGAGGGGTGTTAATGTTGCAGTTTAAAAACTGTAGTGTAAAGCACCCTTCTGGCAAGACAGTGATGGAGTGAATGATGGTGAAAGTTTTTCTTTTTCGGGCCACCCTGCCTTGGTGGGAATCGGCCGGTGTGATAATAAAAAAAAATAAATATGCTCAATGCATATCATATACCAAGAGTATTTTCTTTCTATGCATAGTATAAGTGGCTTTGGCATGCTGCTCTTATCTGTATTTTTTTTGTACCTCTGTAAGTGTGCTCAAATTATAAATAAATAAATAAATAAATAAATAAATAAATATAAAGTTTACTAGCACAGGTCAGCCATCACTAATCCGGCAATCAGTTACCCGGTTCCATCAGTAATCCGGCACTAATTTCGGCTAGCATAATTTCAAATTTCATCATTATACTGACTCAAATCATTATACTGACTCAGAAATTGTGCAGATGGTTGTAAATCCACAGCAGCAAGCCAGTGGAGGAGAAAGCAGTGATGAAAATGAGGAAGATGTAGCAGAAAGTCTATTGATAGGTTAATTAAGTGTATTCTAACCTAACCACTCTGTAATCCAGCAAACTCACTAATCCTGCACACTACAGGTCCCAATGATGCCGGATTAGTGATGGCCGACCTGTACTACATTCACACCTTCAAAGAATACAATTTACAATGTAAGAAAACAGAGTAAAGCATCACAGTTTTTTTAGTACATCAATACCTCAAATTCATAATTCATATTTCTAACTACAAAATTTTTCTGACAATAGCCTCAGTAGATGCCTTAAACTTCTGTAGTTTTTTTATACCTTTTTGATAAATTTAATATTAATGCTATAATAGGCTATATTTAAGAAAATGCAGTACAGCCACTGCACAGTAACAGACTCACTTCACAATGTTTCACAATTATCATTCACAATGTGTTAAGCGACATAGGGGCTTACAACACCTAGGGAGAGAGAGAGAGAGGTTATTAGGTTTGATACAAGGAAGAGCCATTTATCAGCATCAAGGCATCCCCCTAGTGCAGGGCTGACAATATAAGAAAAGCCTTGGTGAATGATAAGTCTTGTAAAATAAGTCAAGGAAAAGATAAAAGTTGTACTTCAATGAATTTGGATCTAATTGTATTAATATTCAATTTTATAAGAAAATTAGTCAAAGAAAGTTGCTAAGACACACCTAGGAGAACCTTCAGGGCTATTATCAGAAAAATCACATGACTAGTGTAGAATTTGAATTTGAACTGACAGGGGCTGCACAAAGATGGGGTTTAGGGGTATTAGCCCCTAAAGCCCATCTAGGTGCTTTGTTAGGCTGTAGCCCCCAAACCCCATCTTGGTGTGCTTTGGACTGCTTTGAAGCCCCCAAAGCCTTCCATCTTGGGAGGCTTTGGGTGCTTCAACCCCACAAAGCTCTCAAATAAAAACATTAATAATAATGCTGCTTCAAAACAGGTCTCCTAGCCCCCTTCCAATAGGATAGCTCCCTTAAACACAAATTCTAGCATTCCTACCTATGAACTGTTAAGACTAGTACTGAATGTAGGTGACAAAATGATCTGTCTATGAGCATCCCCTAAGAAAGACAAGCTAAAGTTTTAAGTAGGTTAAGGCAGTTTTCAGGGAGGGTATGTGAGGGTTTAAGGAAACTCAGCAATGAAAGAAGGAACGGACCAAAAAATTTGAGTAACTTAAATGTTGATTTTGTTTTTTAACACATTGGCTGTTTCCCACCAAGGCAGGGTGACCCAAAAAAGAGAAACACTTTCATCACTCACTCCATCACTGTTTTGCCAGATATACTACAGTTCAAAAACTGTAGTATCGGCACAAATAAATGCTCCATCAATCTTGATAATAAAACCAAACTTTGCCAAAAAAAAAAAAAAAAAAGCTCAATACCTAACTGGATTTTTTAGTTCTAAAATAGGAATGAGGAAAACTGTGCATAAATAATTTTAATTAATGGTAAAAAATAATACACTTACTGGAATACAATATGCTGACTCAATGTAGAAGACTAAATTCTGTATGAAGGAAACTTCATCTAGGTTGAATATTATCTGTAATCCTGCAAAGTTTAGTTATTTAATAATAATCCTGTACTGTACATACTAGAGATTTTTCATAAAATGTATCAAAGTCTCTCACAACCTTGTAGCACATACATACTGTAAAACCTAGTTTTAATGGACTCCAGTTTATCAGATTTTGGATTTAATGGACAAAATTTGTGGCCAGATAATGTCAGGAAACAAAAAAGGCTGTTAAACCTAGAATTTCCATTATTAAGGCATGTTGGGTAAACTGATTTCAAAGATTTTAGAGCCCCTTGAATCAAGAACTATCTGCTATTATTACAATCATGGAAAAACAATTTTATCATTCAACTTTTAATTAACAAACAATGTGCATTAACAGGCACCCCTCTCTCCCTCCCCCCTTAATCTGTTAAAAAATATAGCAAAACCTCAATTTAAGTAAATATTTATTATTATTATTATTATTTTTTTTTTTTTTTTTTTTTTTTTCAACAAGTCGGCCGTCTCCCACCGAGGCAGGGTGACCCAAAAAAAAAGAAAGAAAATCCCCAAAAAGAAAATACTTTCATCATCATTCAACACTTTCACCACACTCGCACATTATCACTGTTTTTGCAGAGGTGCTCAGAATACAACAGTTTAGAAGCATACACATATAAAGATACACAACATATCCCTCCAAACTGCCAATATCCCAAACCCCTCCTTTAAAGTGCAGGCATTGTACTTCCCATTTCCAGGACTCAAGTCCGACTATATGAAAATAACCGGTTTCCCTGAATCCCTTCACTAAATATTACCCTGCTCACACTCCAACAGATCGTCAGGTCCCAAGTACCATTCGTCTCCATTCACTCCTATCTAATACGCTCACGCTCGCTTGCTGGAAGTCCAAGCCCCTTGCCCACAAAACCTCCTTTACCCCCTCTCTCCAACCCTTTCGAGGACAACCCCTACCCCGCCTTCCTTCCCCTATAGATTTATATGCTTTCCATGTCATTCTACTTTGATCCATTCTCTCTAAATGACCAAACCACCTCAACAACCCCTCTTCTGCCCTCTGACTAATACTTTTATTAACTCCACACCTTCTCCTAATTTCCACACTCCGAATTTTCTGCATAATATTTACACCACACATTGCCCTTAAACAGGACATCTCACTGCCTCCAACCGTCTCCTCGCTGCTGCATTTACCACCCAAGCTTCACACCCATATAAGTGTGTTGGTACTACTATACTTTCATACATTCCCTTCTTTGCCTCCATAGATAACGTTTTTTGACTCCACATATACCTCAATGCACCACTCACCTTTTTTCCCTCATCAATTCTATGATTAACCTCATCCTTCATAAATCCATCCGCCGACACGTCAACTCCCAAGTATCTGAAAACATTCACTTCTTCCATACTCCTCCTCCCCAATTTGATATCCAATTTTTCTTTATCTAAATCATTTGACACCCTCATCACCTTACTCTTTTCTATGTTCACTTTCAACTTTCTACCTTTACACACACTCCCAAACTCATCCACTAACCTTTGCAATTTTTCTTTAGAATCTCCCATAAACACAGTATCATCAGCAAAAAGTAACTGTGTCAATTCCCATTTTGAATTTGATTCCCCAAAATTTAATCCCACCCCTCTCCCGAACACCCTAGCATTTACTTCCTTTACAACCCCATCTATAAATATATTAATTATTAATTATTATATTAATTATAAATATATTTATTATTATTATTATTATTATTATTATTATTATTATTATTATTATTATTAAAAAGTGAAAAAAAATTCCATGGAAAAAAAAACACTGGTAAGACAGAATCTTTTTGATACAATGTTCGGCCTAAAGCTGGGCTAAATTTACCAAGCAAACACATGGCCTTACAAGGAAAACAAGTGACATGAGGTCAGGCTTGAAGAAAAACACATCACATGTGAGGTCAGAAAACTGACATGTACAGTGGACCGTCGCCTAATGATATTAATCCGTTCCTGAGAGCTCAACGTTAGGCGAAATTATCGTTAGCCGAATTAATTTTCTCCATAAGAAATAATGGAAATCAAATTAATCCGTTCCTGACACCCCAAAGTAAGAAAAAAAAAAATTTTACCACATGAAATATTAATTTTAATACACACAAACTGAAGAAGACATGTACAATTACATGACACTTACCTTTATTGAAGATCTGGTGATGATTGATGGGATGGGAGGAGGGGAGTGTGTGGATGGTGTTAAAGTTTAGAGGGGAATCCCCTTCCATTAGGACTTGAGATGTCAAGTCCTTTTCCGGGGTTACTTCCCTTCTTCTTTCAATGCCACTAGGACCAGCTTGAGAGTCACTGGACCTCAGTCACACAACATATCTGTCCATAGAGGCCCGTTCCTTTATGACATTCCTAAAGTGTTCCACAACATTGTCAATGTAATAGTCACCAGGACGGCTTGCAATAGCTGTGTGAGGGTGATTTTCATCAAAAAAAGTTTGCACTTTAAGCCACATTGCACACATTTCCTTAATCTTTGAAGTAGGCAACTTCCTCAATTTCTCTATCCCCTCCTCCGGAGCAGTTTCCTCACCACTAGCATTAGCACACATCAACAGAGTAAGCCTGTCTTTCATAGGTTTATGTCCTGGGAGTGCCTTTTCCTCCTGCGTAATGTAGGTCCTGCTTGGCATTTTCTTCCAAAACAGGCCTGTTTTGTCACAATTAAACACTTGTTCAGGTTTCATTATTATTATAATCAAAAAGAAGCGCTAAGCCACAAGGACTATACAGCGCTTGTTCAGGTTTCAATTCTTCACTGTCTATGTAATCCTTGAATTCCTGCACATATTTTTCAGCAGCTTTTTGGTCCAAACTGGCAGCCTCACCATGCCTTATCACACTATGTATGCCACTACGATTTTTAAATCTCTCAAACCAACCTTTGCTGGCCTTAAATTCACTCACATCACCACTAGTTGCAGGCAATTTTTCTAATTAAATTGTCATGCAACTTCCTAGCCTTTTCACATATGATTGCTTGAGAGATGCTATCTCCTGCTATCTGTTTTTTGTTTATCCACACCAATAACAGTCTCAACATCTTCTATCACTTGTGATCTCTGTTTTGAAAACATAGTTGCACCTTTGGCAAGAACAGCTTCCTTGATTGCCGTTTTCTTGGCCACAATAGTAGCGATGGTTGATTGGGGTTTTGTGTACAACCTGGCCAGCTCGGAGACACGCACTCCACTTTCATACTTAGCAATGATCTCTTCCTTCATATCCATAGTAATTCTCACCCTTTTTGCTGTAGGGTTGGCACTAGAAGCTTTCTTGGGGCCCATGGTGACTTATTTTGCAGGTGCAATCACTAAAAATGCTGTGATAATATGAAATGTTCCGACTGTATGTTTGAATGCGACCGCGGTGGCTGGCTTGTAAACACTGGCACCCACGGGACAAGTGGACGCGTCTCGAATGGACGAATCGCATAAGAACATAAGAATGTAGGAACACTGCAGAAGGCCTACTGGCTCATACGAGGCAGGTCCTTATCAAAACGACATCTACCTAAAGCTACTCAAGAAATAACTCCCGTACCCCTTGACACCAATCAAACCCAGCCCCTCCCACTCATATATTTGTCCAGTCTCTTCTTAAAGCTACCCAAGGTCCTAACCTCTATCACCCCACTGGGAAGACTGTCCCACGCATCTACAACTCTGTTAGAAAACCAGTACTTACCTATGTCCTTTCTAAATCTAAATTTATCCAACTTAAATCCATTATTCCTGGTTCTTACCTGGTTCGACACCCTCAGTACTTTATTAATGTCGCAAGTTTTTTAGTGCTAGCCGAGACAAAATTTTTGCGTTAAAATGTATCACTAGCCGGATTTAACGTTATGCAATGCGTTTGTTAGGTGAGGGTCCACTGTATAAGTGGGGTCAGGTATTAATGAGAGTAGGTGGAGTAAGGTGACAAGTTTTTTTTTTCTTTTTAACATGACAGCTGCCTCCCACTGAGGCAGGGTGACTCAAAAAATAAACACTTTCACCATCATTCACACTATCAGTGGCTTGCCAGAGGAGTGAAGATACGAGATGGACAGTGTGGGCAACAGGTCCAGTCAACATGTACATTCTGCTGTTATGCTCAGTGGTACTGCTGAGGTGGATCACTGCTGCTTCCAAAGTTGTTCTTGTTCCTGTATACTCTATAAAGCCCAGCCTTGGGCAAAACATTGTATTAAAAGGATTCTCTACTACCAGTGTCTTTATTTACACTCATTGACTCTTGCCATTGTCTATCTACCAGAAAATTTGATTTAATATATATGAACACAAATTGCAAAACTTTCCAAAGCAATTTTGTTTTAGCAATCAGTGTAAAAGATGTACGTCACACTCACCAGAAGCGGTCATTTGTGCTAAAACTAGTAAGAATAAAGATGTGGCATCGATCTGCAGGTGACCCCACTCATTATCCCTCACCACAGTTCGACCAGTCTTTGATGAATACTTTGCATGAAGAGAATCAATTGGCGCTTGAGTATGTTTAAACTGCTCAACCTTATCCTTCTGTTGCATCATGCATGTCAGAAGTCCACGCATTAACTTAACACAACTCTGGAGCAAAAGGATGTAAAAACAAAATTAGTTTTCCAATGTAAATTATTTTAATAATTTTAAGGTCAAAATCGAAGTAGTAATCAGTAATTCAAAAATAAGCTGTAGGTGTATATTTTGGTAGTTTTGAGCCCATAAGTATGTAATCACAAAATCATTTACATTATCAGGTTTATTATAGATGATACCAGTGGCAGATGCAACCAGTTTTATTATACAATTTATCATTTTCAAGTAGGGGCAGGCAGTGCAATAATTATAACAATACAACAAAAAAATTCACATATGCATGGAAACAATTATGGTTTACTCTAAAGATCCTACCTGTTCAAGTTCATAGGTTTTAGCTCTGTCTTCATCAAGGTCTGCATTCTTTTTATAAGCCATTGATAACCCCCATACAGCTAATATGGAGTAAAGGTTATCACGCACCCATGCATGGTGGTTTTCTGGAGTTGCTGGCAATAGTCCAGTTACTGCATCCTTAAGACACGAAATGCAAAATTAATAAAGACAAACTCCATCTTACTTCAGGCTTCAGTATGAACAGGACATGAGAAGCAGAGTACATATTATATACATATATAAAATCGTACTATAAATATAATGTGGCAGTTTATATGGTATGTTAATCCTGGGATGTAAATGGTTCAGAAAAGTGACAAGTTGAAGAATGAGACACTTGTGACACATCTCGGAATCTTTAATGAAGAAACGCTTTGCCAGTCAGTGACTTCTTCAGTCCAAAACGGAGAGCAATGGTGGAAGACATGGAGTTTGAGGTAATCAGTCCCACAGCATGGAGTCAATGTGTTCAAATCCGTCAATCTTGAGATATGTACCACTTATGGCCTGAAAATTGGTTTATATACCACAGTTGGGCGAGTTGAAGCAGGAGGCAGCAGTCACCAGTGGAAAAACATACTAGTGTAAGTAGGTCATGCCTATAGGTTAGGCAAGTGTTGAAAATTTCCCCTGTACCATATCAAGACCTCTGTTTTGTACTGATGAAGCCACTGGCTGGTACAAGGTTTCCTCACTAAAGATTCCCAAATGTTGCACAAGTGTCTGATGTTAACCCTATCAAAAATTATTTACATATATGAACTGTTTGTCAGAAAATAATTTTGAATATTACTGTTCCAGGAATGTTACGAAAATTAAACATATTATAAAGTAGGACCCCCATATCTGTGGGTCTGGTATCTGAGGTTTACCATAGCCTGAAAATAACCCTTAATTTTGCTTAATAATGGCTTCAAATTGCAATAGTGATGGTGGAAGTTCTTCAAAGCCTAAGAGAAGCCAAGAAGTGCTTCCCATCAGTGAAAGTGATAATTTTCCACTTACTGTGGTACAGTAAGTGGAAAATTATCACTAAACTAAACTAAACTTTCTAATAGGTGTGTATATAAATGAAAAATGACATACATACAGTTCGCTATTATCCATGGTTTCAGTATCCACAGCAGGTCCTTGAAACGTATCCCCTGCAGATATGGGGGTCCTACTGTAATTATTTTTATATTTAGGGGGAAACACTAAACTTGCATGTTTCACACAGCACAGTGCCTGTGGAATAGGGGGGGGGGCCTATTTATTCCCACCTGTTTTATAAGCACAGTACAGGAAGACTATGCTTGGTGTTCAGTATTCACTTCACAAGCATATGAAAAACAATATACTGTGTTTTTATTCTCAGTATCTGTAATCCTCACAACCATTCAGAATATCCTCATATGCTAGAATCCTCATTACCTGTAATAATAAGCCAACCTGTAACCCTTAAAACAATTAAACTCGATAAAACTGTTCGTTGTATTTCATAAATTTGTTACAACCACTTAAGAGTCCGTATATACAAGCAATTAATTATTTATTCCCTTATTAGTCTTAAGATAGGCTTAAGTTTGCCCAAAATGCTCTGCATACTAAGGTGAAAGCCTTTCTGCATGCACACCTAAATGTTATCCACCTCTCTACAAACGTTATATCATGCTCAAATAAAGAATTTTAATCAGTTTGTCATATAAATTTATAAATACTGTACTGAATTTCTGAATTTCAGTGGTTGCAGCATCTGCTACCTGTGATTCGATATCATTATTATACAGTAATAAAATATGAAGCACTAAACCTACAAGGGTCATACAGTGCAGTGGGGCAGGAAAGAATACAGGGGTATTGGGTACCAAGAGGGAGAGGCATTATTAGTAGCGTCATAGTGCAGCGGGGCAGGGAAATGTGCAGGGGTATAGGGTAACGAGGGAGAGGTATAAAGGGCTGCGAGGTGCCAGGGGCATCATCATCAAAATTTGTGAAGTTAAATCAGTTGCTGTCAAAAAGTCAACAAGAGAGTCTGAGTCAAAGGTGGGTCTGTCAGCAAGGAGGGAAGATAAATCAAGGGCATTAGAGCGGTGACGTCAGAGGTAAATTCTGCATACTCGTTGACAGAGTAGACAGTCCAACAGAATATGGCAAACAGAAACAAGGACCTGATGATTCTCAAAGAGTGGAACAGGGCGCCTCTCCATGAGATACCTGAAAGTAAGATGAGTGTGGCCAATGCGAAGACAGGAGAGCGTTGTCTCCCAACCTCGGCATCAATGACAAGACGGCCAGAAAGCTATATGTAGTACGTACTTGGTTTAATAGAATGTAATTTATTTAGCAGATCAGACCAATATCATCCCCTGGCTGTCTTCAAGAAGGCACTGGACAGGCACCTACAGTCAGTACCTGACCAGCCGGGCTGTGGTTCGTACGTCAGTTTGTGTACGGCCAGCAGTAACAGCCTGGTTGATCAGACCCTGATCCACCACGAGACCTGGTCTCAGACCAAGCCGTGGAGGTATTGACCCCTGAAGCCCTCTCCAGGTGTACTTCAGGTAACAGTTGCGAAGGTGGGTAGCAAGTACGTACAGCAAAAGTCTGTGACTCGAACACCTCTATATGAAACTGGGAGGTCATGTACTGCTGACCACACAGCAGTGTCTGCCTGTTCATTGCCCTGTACATCAACATGACCAGGGACCCAACAAAAAACAATATTTTTGTGCTTGCTAGAGATACAACGTAACCAAAGTTGGATATGAAGAACCAGGGGATGAGGTGAATCAAATTTTTTTATAACCTGCAAAGCACTAAGGGAGTCTGAAACTACCACAAATGGCAACACAGGCATAGATGCAATACATATAAGGGTTACAAGAACTGTATACAATTCAGCTGTAAAAATGCTAGCCAAGGCTAATAAATGCCCTCGCACGACACTGTCTGAAAACACTGCTGCAAATCCGATACCGTCAGAAGACTTGGAACCATCGGTGTACACTGCGATGGCATGTGAATGAGACCAGAAGTGATTAAGAAAAAGAGAGCGAGAAGCAACTGTAGGTATGTGGGCTTTCGTGCATGGCAGTGAGGAAGAACAGACACAAACCGTCAGAACTTCCCAAGGAAAAAGGGAATAGTTAGATGCTACATGAACACACACACACATGGTAACTGAAGAGAAGACAAGAGCAAATGTAGATGAAGAGAAAAGGGATGGAGTAAACAGGTGGTAAACAAATAAGGAACTTTTACTAACAACCATTACTATCCTATATGTATATAGAAGGATTGTGCAGGTCATGAGAGCGAACAAAATAGCAGAGGCAATGAACATCATGGCAATCGGTCAAGGATGGAATATTCGCCTCTGCATAGAGGCTCTCAACAGGTGAAGAGCAAAAAGCACAGAGGCATACACTGATTCGACATCAATAGGCCAACACTCTATTTGTGAAGAAATAATATAAAGAACATGTACAGTGAATTTGCTGCATCACTTTTTCTTCAGTGTACAATTGTGGCCTCTTGTTCTTCCTGTAGGTGCTTGAAAGTCTATATAATTTTTTTCGTGCATTTTAATGATTTCTATGTAGATATACTTCAGAATCTTCTATCAGACATCATGCACATTTTTAATGTTTTCTACATTTTTTTTATAAAGTAATGCACAAATGAGAGCCATTTTGTAACATGCTTCTAGCTCTTTTCCATCTGTGTATCATTTTTAATCAAACACTACATCACTGCTACATATTCTACTTCTGATCTGACAAATCTTGCAGCAGTTTTTTAGAATATTACCATCCAGACACAGTACATGAGGATGAGAGGATGGGGAACATCAAGGCAGCATGGGAGCCAAGACAAATAACCTAATCCAGCAAAGTCAAAGGTGAAAGTTTTTTCTTTATCATAAAATGATCTGCATAACCATGGGCTTTCTGCATGCACAATCAAATGTCACCCATCTCTGTACAAACATAGTATGACGTGAAAACAAATCTTTGACAAATGCAATATATGCTGGCTCTGATGCCTGGAGCTATTCTGTAGCAAGCATCTGAGAGGACTCGTAAGACTATGACCATCATAGCTCTTAACTACAGTAACAACCATTTTGATGTTAAATCCAGTCAGTCCATTTTCCATTTGCTTGTGGCAAGAAACTAGGATAAGAATAAAATATTATAAATACAATATTTATTAACATGAAATATCTGAGCATTAACTGTTCTTGTAATAGGTTTGCTACTACTGTTTTAACACCAGTGGAATTATTATGATAATCAAAGAGAAATGCTAAACCCTTATGGGTAATATATTATTAGTAAGTCCTTGTTTTAAGACTAATGCAGGGAGTGGGTGACTGTACATTCATGGGGAAAGTGTTGAACCAGTAGGGGGTCATAGAGGGCCTGGGGGATATATGCAAGGGAAGGCAATCAGAATCAAGCTAAGGAAGGGAAGGGTATGTCCAAGTCCTTGAATCAAGAGCCATTTACCCTTCAAGGGAGGTCCCTTGAAGGGTAAGTCATACTGTGCCTGAGGAATAAAAGGTAATAAGCTTTGATCCAAAGAAGGGGAAAGTAGCTCAAACTGAACAGAGAGCCTTTCCTGAGCATCAAAGCACCTACATACCATGGATTAACACCAGTGGGAAGACACTGAATTATTATTACATTCATAGGGAAGTGCTAAAACCCAGAGGGGTTATTCAGCACCTGAGGATTAGCAAGTAATCAGGTTCAATTCTGTCAAGGGGAGGAGCTCCAATTCCTTGGAATATGAGTCCTTTTACTGGTATCAATAGTTTAAACTGTACAATAATGAATGGATTTTACACGAGACTTATGGTGTCTCTCCCCTAAGAAACCAAGGTAAAACGACACAGATGCAACTTATGTTACATTTTACTGAGGCCACAATAAACTGTCACATTAGTTGCAGTTGTTCGTTTACCTAATATTTTGTTGGTAATTCTACCATTATTACTATAAGAAACCTAACCTAGCCAAGCATCACATAACTTTGACATACTATATCATTGGTCATTGGTTCACTGCTTCTTTGTTAACCTTTGCTGTGATTGGCCAGGTCACAATACTAAATGATGATCAGTTTTGCTGTGCTGGTCAAGCCAAAACTAAACTATTATTTTCACTGTCTCCCAAAATACAAATTTGCCCCAGGAATAAGTGTTTGATCCACGGTGTAGTTACCTTTACAAATACACAAATACAGGTTTATATAAACATAATACACCTACCATCCGACTTATGACCTGCTCGACTTACGACAACTCGACTTATGACCGTGTTTTTTATGCCAAATTTCTGGGAAATAAACAACTATTTGTGTTGTACACAGTGTTTATCCTAAACCTTACAGTATAAAATACAGTACTAACAACATAAAAAGTAAAGTAAAACATGAAATACCAAAATAAAACAATAAAATAAAGTCATTACAAAAATGTTTTGTTGATATTCAGTAGTAAAGTTCGAATTACGACCATTTCGACTTACGACCGGTTTCTCTGAACCGAACTCCGCCGCAAGTCGGATGGTAGGTGTACAATGTTTATACAGAAATGGGTGATACTGTAGTACATGCTGAAAGGCCACGATAATGTGGAGCATTTTGGGCAAGCTTAAGTAGGTAGGTAAGTAAGTTAGTTTATTTAGGTACAGTTACACAAATTATCACACACAGTATGATTTGGTTTTCAACGACTTTTTTCGTCAAAATTTTGTACCAGTTTTTGTACACCCACTCAATTTTTGTACAGTTGAAAATGGTCCGTACTAAACTCGTCTGCCTGCCTTCGTGACTCGGCCACTCATTTCCTGGAATCAAGCGTCCACCCAAAGCATCCCGTGCATTCGTGACTCAATCTGTTTTTGTTTCTTGTTGAGTGAGCATTGCCCCTCGCGTTCATCCGAAACATTTCGTAATAATCCATTTTTTTTGTGCTTGTTTATTGAGTGCCACTGCTAAACAAGCCACCATGGGGCCAAAGAAAGTTCCGAGTGCCAGCCCTTTGATAAAGAAGGCAACAAACACGATAGAATTCAAGAGAGAACTCGTAGCAAAGTACAAAAGTGGTGTACGTGTGGCCGATCTCACCAGGATGTATGGGAAGTCCACATCAACTATCAGTTCCCTCCTGGTGAAGAAAAAAGAAATCAAGGAAGATGAAGTTGGAAAAGGGGTAAATGTGCTAACGACACATCACAAACAATCGAAGATGTTGAGATGTTGTTGTTGGTGTGGAATGAGTTGCAGAGATTTGTGGAGAAATATCACCCTAACAAAGCTGTTGCAAGCCATGTCTGCAACATGTTCAATGACAATGCCGTGTCCCATTTTAGGCAAATCTTAAAGAGACACCAGAAACAGACCTCTCTGGACAGATTTTTTGTGCAACATTAGTACAGTAACTCTCAAGCTGGTCCTAGTGCCAGTAAAAGACAAAGAAGGGAAGTAACCCCAGACAGGGCCTTGATACCTGAAGTCCTTATGGAGGGGGATTTCCCCTCTCCCATCCTCGCCGTCTTCCATACGCCAACAAAAGTCTTCAATAAAAGTAAAAGTGATGTTAAATGTTCATTTATCCACTTCATTAGTCATTTATATTTATTTCTAACTGTTCTCTGTATGAAAAACTATAGTTATTCTTTATAAAATGTATTTTTTGCTAATATTTTTGGGTGTCTGGAATGGATTAATTGGATTTACATTATTTCTTATGGGAAATATTGCTTCAGTTTTCATCAGACTTTTTCGAATGGATTAATCAATAAAACTGAGGTTCCATTGTATGTACAAGTTACACGGGATAACCCAAAAATATCATTGTATGCATTGTAAGGTAATAAATAATGTTTGATTTCCACCGAGGAAGAGAAAATATTTATTATTAGGTGACAAATTGTACATACTTAACAGAGCCCAACTTAAACCAACCCAACATAGCTGTTTAAGTAAGTTTATTTAGGCACAGGTACACATAAGCAAAATTATCATATAAAAACTACCCAGGATAACCAAAAAAGACTAAGTGACTTATTTCCACTGAGATCCTTGATATTTCCACTGGTTAAATTTGAACAGATATTAAGATATATTAATGTCAGTTAATTTTTCCACTTTACAGTTTCAAAGCACAACCTTTACTGGGGCCTATCAAAATCAAAATCAAAAGTGATATTCGGCCTGGTGAAAAGTTCTCAAATAAATTAAAGAAATTATTTGTAATTACCTAAATAGGACAAACATAACAGTACAGTTCTTTGAAACTAATTAAATAGGAAACAGTCGTATATTTTGTTTGTAATTACTTAAATAGGTCAATTAGATAAGACTGATAAGATAATCTCGCCTAATTGACCTATTTAGATAAATACAAAAAAAAATGATAAAAGTTTTATTCACATCTAAAATACATGAACAGAACTAGTAAGGTTTCAGACATGCTAAACCCACAAGTTTTACAATTGTCTTTATGTAGCAACAGATAATAAATTAACCCTGAATAAGTCAAACACAGAGACAAACTTCCTCCGATCATTTATCAAAACCATTTCAAGTCAAACTATCATGACAATGGTCTCACCTGATGCCTGAGGATAGTCCGATACACTATACGGTGGTAATAGTCCAACCTCACCCCAGAGTTGCTTCTACTCCTCATATTTATTGTTTTGCTTTTTTCAATACGTCTGAGATTTTCTCATCATAGAATCCCACACAACCCTTCCCAGCTGAGAGAATATAAGGTGAAGAATACTACGATAATTCCATCTTTGTTGAGCATCGTAAAGGAATCTAAACCTTCTTCTCTAACACAGGTTCTCCAAAAGTAATTTGTCTTCTGTTTTATTTTTATGATATAAAACCAATATATCTCACTCTAATTTATTATTATATTTACTATTTTAACCTTATTAATATATGCATATGGTCATTAAAATAAAAAATATAAAAAATTTTGCTTTAAAAGTGCCAAAATTGGGTTAGGATCTGCTCATGTTCTAGAGGAGGATCGTAGTAATTTAAAGTGGGTTGAGCCACCATTATGGTCCCTCTTGTGCCTCTATACCTGGCCAGCCTCTCAAGGACATTAAGGACATATTTCAATATCTATTTACATCCTGAATATCATAACATACATAAATACTTTTCGAAAAATTCCCTGCACTTTTGCTTTGTTAATTTGCAAAATATGCACCGAAATAATGCAATGAATTTCAATTCATGGCGCCACCAGCAGACGACGCAATAATCAGCTGTTCCACAGTGATGCTGAATATATACAACAAAATATATGTAATATATAATAAATAAACAAATACAATAAATAAAACAAGTAAGTGGATAAACAAAATATAAAAAATAAATAAAATAAAATAAAAATTAAAAAAAAATAATAATATATATAAAATAAATAAAAAATACATAATTAAATAAATTAAATAAAATGAAAGAAATAAAATAAAACAAATTGTTCCAAATTGCATATAATTCTCCAAATTATATACTATAATGCATACAATAGCTCGATTGGTAGCGCACTCAGCTCACACACTGAAATCCGAGGTTCGATCCCCCTTACAGGTGGAAACATTGTCATATAAATGTCATTACAAGCGCCCATATGCTGCAGAAGTTATTAGGTTGATGTGCACCTCAGGAGATGTGCTCGGTATTACACTCACCCCAAGATCCTTTTCTTTGAGTGAGGTTTGCAGTTGTGGAAAATTAAATTTACCTGGATGTAACTCATAAGATACATACCAGTAAATGGTAACTAAGATAAACATCTCTATGACATTCCCCCGTGTTCGACTAAACCTTTACAAAAATTCAATGTATTTCAAAGGATCTAAAATCTGGAACACCCTACCTGAAAACTCTGGAACTGCAGACACATTCATCACTTTCAAAACTACAGTTAAAAAAACATCTTATCTCCCTGATCCACCCCGACAACTAAGATAAGATAAGATAAGATTTCGTTCGGATTTTTAACCCCGGAGGGTTAGCCACCCAGGATAACCCAAGAAAGTCAGTGCGTCATCGAGGACTGTCTAACTTATTTCCATTGGGGTCCTTAATCTTGTCCCCCAGGATGCGACCCACACCAGTCGACTAACACCCAGGTACCTATTTGCTGCTAGGTGAACAGGACAACAGGTGTAAGGAAACGTGTCGAATGTTTCCACCCGCCGGGAATCGAACCCGGGCCCTCCGTGTGTGAAACGGGAGCTTTAGCCACCAGGCCACCGGGCCACCCACTAACTACATGATAACCACCTGGTGGTTCACAATTACACTCACTCACCCACTGACTATAAACCCAGAAATACTAATCTTAATCTTAAAATAATAAATCCTAACTAGTCATAAGTTTGCCTATAATACTCCAATGTAGACACTTTGTATTGTGCCAAAACAAAAGCATTCACATTGCTAAACTCATAAATTATGATGTAGTCACTTAGCTTTAATACCATAATCTGTAAGGATTTAATGTTAAGAATTAATCTAAGTCTGCTCGAAATGCCTAGCCATGCTAGGTGTCCTAGTGGCCCCCTCTGTAATTAGTATTTTATAACATGTAAACCCTGCATTGTAACCCTTATAGAGAATAAACTTGAATTGAATTGAATTGAATTATCAAGGTTACAGAGACAAGTAGGAATTTTAGGACACCTAGGTCGCAAAAAATGTCCCCCTTCGATACCTACGATAATCTATCTCTCCACAAGTCACTCTGAACCTATATTAATTTCAAATGAAGTATACATCACCAGGAATTCTGGTAAAAACATTAACATAAATATGTGGACTGTATATTAAATTTAAAATGTGAGTACACATACATTGAAGGAGAATTTATAATAATAAGACTCACCAATTAGTCTGGAGATTACTTGGTGTATCATGCACTACCCCTGCCTAAATATGAAGAAAATACTGGCCAGAATCTCAACACAAAATAGACATGACTTAGCAGGGGTTCTGAAGCTGTCCTGTCCATCTGCTTAATGCTCACATTGTGCAGGACTGCAAATCCAACAATTTCGGTTCCTATTACCTGGAGTTTACCTGGAGAGAGTTTCGGGGGTCAACGCCCCCGCGGCCCGGTCTGTGACCAGGCCTCCTGGTGGATCAGCGCCTGATCAACCAGGCTGTTGCTGCTGGCTGCACGCAAACCAACGTACGAGCCACAGCCCGGCTGATCAGGAACTGACTTTAGGTGCTTGTCCAGTGCCAGCTTGAAGACTGCCAGGGGTCTGTTGGTAATCCCCCTTATGTGTGCTGGGAGGCAGTTGAACAGTCTCGGGCCCCTGACACTTATTGTATGGTCTCTTAACGTGCTAGTGACACCCCTGCTTTTCATTGGGGGGATGGTGCATCGTCTGCCAAGTCTTTTGCTTTCGTAGTGAGTGATTTTCGTGTGCAAGTTCGGTACTAGTCCCTCTAGGATTTTCCAGGTGTATATAATCATGTATCTCTCCCTCCTGCGTTCCAGGGAATACAGGTTTAGAAACCTCAAGCGCTCCCAGTAATTGAGGTGTTTTATCTCCGTTATGCGTTTTGAGAGGTTTTAAGCCCAATATAACCCCTAGAGCGACGAAAATTATGCACATTACACTAACGTGCTTGTATCACATTAAAAAACAATGGCGTCTCCTCCCCCCGCTCGTCAGTGCAGGCGCAGAGCTTCCCTGCCAGTTCACTTCTTTAAAATACACTTTAGAGCAATAGTAATGCATTAATCAGGTATATTTACATTATAAAAATATACAGCATAATTTTGGGAAAATTATTTTCCACAGCAGTCTTTGGCCCCTTAACCTGTACTCTGTACTCTGACCCTCTCCAGTTTTCATGGCTTTACACCTGGTGGGGTTGAACTCCAGGAGCCAGTTGCTGGACCAGGCTTGCAGCTTGTCCAGATCCCTTATAGTCCTGCCTGATCCTCACCCATTTGAATTCTCCTCATTAACTTCACAGTGCCTTCAAACAAGGACACATCTGAATCTATCCCTTCTATTATGTCATTCACATATAGCAGAAACAGCACCGGCCCTAGGACTGACCCCTGTGGAACCCCGCTCGTCACAGGCGCCCATTCTGATACCTCGTCACATACCATGACTCGTTGTTTCCTTCCTATCAGGTATTCTCTGATTCATTGCAGTGCCTTTCTTTTTATTCCTGCCTGCTGCTCTAGTTTTTGCACTAATCTCTTGTGCAGAACTATCTCAAAAACCTTCTCACAGTCCAAGAATATGCAATCTACCCACCCCTCTCTCCTCTGTCTTACTTCTGTCACCTTGTCATAAAGCTCCAGTAGGTTTGTGACACAGGATTTCCCTTCCCTGAAACCATGCTGGTTATCATGTATAAGATCATTCCTTTCTAGGTGCTCCACCACTCTTCTCCTGATAATCTTCTCCACGACTTTGCATATTATACATATCAGTGACACTGGTCTGTAGTTTAATGCTGCCTGTCTCCTTTCTTAAATATTGAGACTACATTTGCTGTTTTCCGTACTTCAGGCAGTTGCCCTCTTTCGATAGATGTGTTGAATATTGTTATTAGTGGCACACACAGTGCCTCTGCTCCCTTTCTCAGGAGCCATGAAGAGATGTCCGGTCCCACAGTCTTTGAGATATCTAATTCACTTAGCAACCACTCTCACCTTCTCGGTTGCGTGTAGTGTGTCTAACACCTGTTGGTGTACCTACGATTCCTTGACTGTTGTTTTCCTCCTGATGTGGCTGTACAACAGCTTCGGGTCAGATATGGCTTTCAATGCTATGTGTGTGTGTGTGTACTTACCTAATTGTGGTTGCAGGGGTCGAGTCACAACTCCTGGCCCCGCCTCTTCACTGGCCGTGTACTCACCTAGTTGAGGTTGCGGGGGTCGAGTCCGAGCTCCTGGCCCCGCCTCTTCACTGATCGCTACTAGGTCACTCTCCCTGAGCCGTGAGCTTTATCATACCTCTGCTTAAAGCTATGTATGGATCCTGCCTCCACTACATCGCTTCCCAGACTATTCCACTTACTGACTACTCTGTGGCTGAAGAAATACTTCCTAACATCCCTGTGATTCGTCTGTGTCTTCAGCTTCCAACTGTGTCCCCTTGTTACTGTGTCCAATCTCTGGAACATCCTGTTTTTGTCCACCTTGTCAATTCCTCTCAGTATTTTGTATGTCGTTATCATGTCCCCCCTATCTCTCCTGTCCTCCAGTGTCGTCAGGTTGATTTCCCTTAACCTCTCCTCGATAGGACTATTTTTCATCCTTAGCTCTGGGCTAGTCTTGTTCAAACTCATTTTGCACTTCTCTCTAATGTTCTTTTAACGATGCTCGGCTATGTGTTGGGTTTCCTGGCGCCCATACTGCACATTTTTTGGTGGTCCTAACGGATGTGCGGTTTTAACTCCTCCAAGATTCTTTTAACTTGAGTAGGTTCTGTAGGTCTTGGCCTAGGCGCTACTCGCTGCGCTTATTTGGTTAAGTCTTCATGACTGTGCACTTGTTATAAACTCAGGACCAAATTCTTGTACCTTGAGTGAGATCCTTTGTAGTTCTGCCCGCCTGACTGTTCGTCTGTGTGTGTTGTTTTGTGCTCTTCGCCATATCTTCAATGACTTAGCACTGTGGGATTGAACTCCAACAATTTGGACCCAGTCTCAGCTGTTTCAGATTTTTATGCTCATGCCTGCCTGTGGTGGTTTGTGTGTGAGT